GAATAATTTGTCTCGTTAAAGTGTGTTCTAAAGTAATTGAACCCACCTGTGTAGACTTTGACGAAAAAGAGATAAGCTCTGGATAAAATTGTGACAACTAATAGTGTAAGGAATTGTTGTACATATGCTTGAATTGTTTTGAATATAATATTTTAAAACAAGTAGATTGTGTGCTGTCTTTTTATTGTTGACATTTATCTCCAACATCACTAACACCTACTGTAAAGAATCCAGCCCAATAAAAACCTGACATTTGACAAGCCAACCAGGATTATACAGTTTTAAACAGCAGTAGAAGAAGACGTGAATGGTATCGGAAGTAGGTCTGTATATGCACAACTGTTGTGGTGTCGAAAATAATGTAAAGATTACAATCATGCTATATAACTATGTCAACTGATTTTGATAAATGGGTAGAGAGAGGTGAATGACATGGACTAAATGATGGTTTATTTATGAGAACTTGTTAAAGAACAACAAGAACTAGAGATAGAGAAAAGTGTCAACAGAGGAGAGAGGGAAAGAGGCAGAGAAGAGATGAAGAGAGGATAGGAATGAAAATAGAGAAAGAAGAAAATGAGAGAAAAGAAAGACTGGAAATAAAGAGAATAAGAGCACAAATTGCAAAAGAAGAAAAAAAGGGAAAAGGAGGAGAGACTGAGAATAGAGAGAATAAGAGTACTGATTGAAAATGCCAAGCTCACCCAATAGAAAGAGGAAGGATCTAAGAATGACAAAGGGGTTAGTGCTAGCCGACCTAAGCTGCCCAAATTTGAGGAACAGAAAGATGACATGGATGCTTTCTTGGAGAGATGTGAAAGATTTGGCCAAAGTCAGAACTGGGATAAAGATGACTGGACAGTCTGTCTCAGCCGACTTCTCACAAGAAAAAGTCTACAAGTGTATGCAGGCATGATGTTAGAAGGTGCCATGGACTATGACAAGTTAAAAGTGGCATTGCTGAAATGCTATGAACTTACCAAGGAAGGTTTTCATCAAACCTGATATTTGAGAAACTGTATTTCAGTTTGTGGGCTGACATGGCCAAGTGTAAAAATAGTTTTGAGGGACTGGCAAATCTACTAATATGTAAACATATTATTGTTCCTAAAGATTATCAAGCTGGCAGAACAGCATATGGAAGTCCATGGAGATAGTATAGCTGGCAAATCCAAGAATAACGAGTTAAAGTTGGAAGTAGGGGTGGCTGACCAGAAACAGGATGCACCATAAGTGACAAGAAGTCAACAGACAGAAGGGAGAAGAGATGCTATATCTGTTATAAAGTTGGGCACATTGTGGATGAGTGCACATCTGTTACCAACAAGCAACAGCAGAAATTTCAAGATAAAGCAATAAACAAGAAAAGAGTGACTATTACCATTGAGGTTGGTGCAAGAAGAAACAGAATAGAGACAATTCATCAAATTCACCACAAGAAGGAAGTGCTATCTCCATAATTAAAGAGTGCATGACTGATGGTCAGCTCAAGTTAGCCAATGGGTCAACATTACCAGTCAGTGGTGATTAAAGTGTGTAACACATAGAGAGGTGCCAACAAGTGACAAGATGCCAGAAGGTGAAGGCTATGTTAGGGCCAAGAAAGTGAAAGTCCTATGAGACACTGGGTGCAGCAGTAAGAACCAGGCTAGTATCTGATGACCATATGACAGGCAAAGTACATCTGTGTGTGCTGATTGATGGAACTGTGATAAATTTTCCCCTAGCAAGAATAAAGGTGGAGACTTCAAACTATTTGAGATACATTGAGGCCATGCATTTGAAGGCACCCATCTATTACTTGGTAATTGGAAATATACCAGGCAGTAGAAGTTTCAAGGAACCAGAAATATAGAAGACTGATGAGGCATCTGCAATCACCACTAGAGCTAAAGAAAAGAAAAGCATAGAAGACATCAAGCCTCCACAAACCTCGAAAGATGACATCCCAAATGTAGGTTTACATGAACTGAAGGAAACAGAAGAAAAACTCTTTACTGCAGAAACTATGGGGCAGTTTCTCGAGCACAAAACAAAGGGGAAAGGAAAGGGACTTGCAGAACAGAGGACCATAAGGAAGTGATGTACCAGATCTATCAAGGCAGTTATACTGAGAAAGTTAAACAGATCATTGTACCAACAGAATACCAGACTCAAGTGATGAAGTTGGCTCACAAGTCAATTGGGGGAGTACACCTTGGAGCAAAAAAAAAGGCAGACAGAATCACCAGAAACTTCCATTGGTCAGGGGTCATCAAAGATGTGACCAGATTCTGCCAAAGGACAATACCTAGAAGAAAGGTAGCCAGAGTGTCACTGGGTGAGATGCCTTTCATAGAAGAGTCATTCAGGAGAGTAGCTATGGTCAGACCACTAGCTCCTATTTCTGACAAGGGCAACAGATATGTGTTGACTGTAGTTGACCATGCGACATGTTATCCAGAAGCCATAGCACTGCTAAAGATAGTAGCAGAGAGAGTAGCAGAAGTACTTCTGTAAGTGTTCTGCAGAGTAGGCTTTCCAAAAGAAGCCCTGAGTGACAGAGGAACCTAGTTTACTTCCGAACTGATGCAAGAGGTGTGCAGACTCATCAGCACTAGGCAACTCTTTACAACCTTATACAACCCTCGATGTAATGGACTTTGTGAGAGAGTCAATGGAATCTTTAAGAGCATTCTGAAGAATATGTGCAAGAGAGACCACGTGACTGGGACAGATACCTACAGGCAGTATTATTTGCTTATCGAGAAGTTTCACAAGCACAGGATTTTCATCCTATGAGTTGCTGTATCGAAAAACAGTGAGAGGTCTGATGCAGATATTGAAAACATTATGGACAGGTGAAGAAGAGTCGGAAGTGAGGAATACCTACCAGTATGTATTAGACCTCATAAACCAAAAAGAGGAGACCTGTCAACTCGCTCTAGAGAGTTTATATGCTGCTCAAGGCAGTCAGAAGCACTTCTATGACAAGAAGACTAGGGATTGACATTTCAAAGTCGAACAGAAGGTATTGGTTCTGGTACCTACAAACAACAACAAACTCAGCCTGCTGTGGAAAGGATCTTTTGAAGTGCAAGAAGTAGTCAACAGAATGGGCTGTAAAGTAAAAGTGGATGGGAATACCAAGTTCTACCATGTCAATCTGTTGAAGAGGTACTTTGAGAGGGAAGAAGACATAACAGGTGCGACAGTCATAGAGACACAACCAGAAGACGATGACTTTGCCATAGAAGGTAAAGACCTTACTGGACTTATGATCACTAAGTGGAGATGAGACGTACAAATACGTCAACATCAGTGGAGAACTGACTGACAAGCAGAAAAAACAGCTACAAGATCTACTGTACCAGTATGCAAATGTCTTCCCAGATAGACTAGGCAAGACAGTCCTTGTGCAACACAAAATCGAGACCACAGCTAAGGAGTCTGTCAAGGTGAAGCCTACCAGATTCCCTTTCCAGTGAGAGACCAACAAAGGAACTTTAAATATTGGCGCAGACTATTGAAAAGACTTTGTATATGAACTGAAAACTGTCTTTGTATATAATGTAGAATCCAATATTGTAAATATTTTTCTTCAAGAAGGGCTTATTGTTAGATATACACAAGTGTTTAATTTAAATTTAATATGAAAGTTATTATTTAACTAGTTATAAGGTACGAGTTTTAAATTTAGTATTTTTAGAAGCGATAATTTATCGCAAGTTTGGTTACGTAACTGTTTATGAATCATTTGTTGCATAGTTCAATTGTTGCAAATTTACATCATGTTACTCGAACATTCTGAATTTATCTTGTTGCTTTAAGTGAGTATTGGATATACTTAATCTTCTCGTATTTTGTAAAAAGTTCTAAGCCTCAGTCGGGCAATATATATATAGACGACCAAGTATTTCTAGTAAAGTTAAGTTAGTGAAAGTGAAGATAGACTGCATGTGAGTTTAGCCATAATGGGCGATTTCTAAAGTGAGTTTCACAATTTGTATTGTAAAAACAGTGATAGAGGAGAAAAATTTGTCTTGTCAAAGGGTGTACTAAAGTGATTGAACCCACCTGTGTGTACTTTGACGAAAAGGAGACAATTATTTAGAGCTCTAGATACAACTGTGATAACCAATAGTGTAACGAATTGTTGTACATATGTTTAATATATTTTAAATATACTATTTTAAAACAAGTGAACTGTGTACTGTCCATTTATTGTTGAAATCTATCGCGGACAAGTTACAGAATCTGTCTCTATAAAAACCCGACACTTGTAAGAAATTTTATAGATATTGTTACGTCTCCGTTCGTCAGTTGATTTTTCGTAACTTCGTTCCGACGAAACTTTAGCGACACAAGTCCTTACTTAATAAAACTGGTTTATTCTTTGCGAATACAACTTTACGATACACTTAATTTCAACAGTCGCGCTATAACAAACGCTATATCTCACGTGGCCAACAATATTTTGTCTGCATACATTCAATTACTCATTACACTGTTGTCCCATCACGTTGTGAACGTCTTATATATACCTGACTAACACATATCTAGTAAATACTAGGGCATTCTTGAAGGAACAGGATATTTCTAGAAACGGGTGGCGTGATACTACTCACGTGACCTCGCTGACGCAACAATATGAAGTTTTGAACTTATATAGGCGTTTACTGTGCGAATTTCAAAACAGCAGTGAATATTGACCCACAGTTTTTACTGTTAATCATGAGCTTGTATCTCTTCCAAAAATTGACTAGAATTCAGTAGATTACACTGAATATATTTTTCCACAAATAGTCTTATAGAAAATGCCACAAAATCTTAAATAAACTGCTATTTCAAATCTGTTCCATTTAAACGAATTCAAGATCTATCAAATGCTCTATGTTTACAAATATATTCATAGAAATTTTGAGACACCTAACAAACTATATTGTTTAGAGAATTTGTTATGAATAATGTTAGCACTTACAAATACCGTTAGAAACACTAACAAGTTGTCGTATTTTCAGGGATAGTCTTCCAGAAATGCTCTCACAGTGTTCGAACGTGTCCATGAAAGATCATGACATTACGTCAGTCATTTTTACTCCTCGAACTTCATTTTATGGTAAGTACTCAGAAATTGCAAGTTGTTTTCATATAAATTGTAACAAAATGTATATGGTTTACAAGCATAATGTATTCAAACTAAAAGTGGAAACGATAACAACGTTAAATCGATTCTAACCAAACGTAACATATTACCTAGAGACATCTAAAGAATAAGGAAGAACGTTAGTGATATCTTCGTTGTGAAAGTATTAGGTCGTCAAGAAACTAATGTCGCGTTTTGGAATACTTTCATTAACCACCTCCCAAAAAACGTACATCACGTACAATAGTTAAACGAACCGCCTAAACGTCACGTTAGTGTAGCCTATATAATG